AAAAGATAGATAATATAAATTGCAAAATCTCATTTTTTTTAAGTTTCTCAGATAATTAAAAAACTCTTTTTGTCAGAAATTGAAGTTCTTAGGTTTTTCTTAATCTATTTCAATTCAGTATTTGCTTAAATAATAAATTTAGTTGAATTACTTTATTTAATATTATAGATAATAATAAAGGAAATCTTTTTTTAAATTTAAATAAAAGCAAATTAAAAGAATATTTCAATTAGACAAATCTTTTTAAAAAAAGTTGTTTAATTAGTAAACTTTTTTGAAAGAGTTTAAATTGTATTCTTTTTTTTTTTTCTTTTTTTTTTTTCATTAACTTAACAATTTATAGTTTTTAAACAATTTATAATGACAAATTGTTGATAATGTATCTAAAAAATAGATATTTATATCAATTTTCTAAGAAAATGAAATATTGTTTTCTAGACTCAACTTGAAATACTTCAATATAATAATGAGTTGATCATTGCTCAATAAAAATTAAGCCATATAGCATAGTTGTAAGTTAAAAAAATATTATTATTATTAATTAAAATCTTATTATTTATTTTTTTTCTATTTGTAGAGATTATATAATTCTATTATTTTTATATCTTTTATTTTACAATATCGAATCTAAAAATTTTTATTTTTATTTATTTTAATTTAAATAGTATTAATAAATTTTAATATACTAGTTTTTTTAATTTTTTTTTTTAAAAAACTAATTTAATAACAAATTCAAGTTTTTTAATGAAGTTAATAAACAAATAAATAAAAATTTATACAGTATATTACTTATTATGTTTTTGTAAAATGTTATTTAAAGATTAATACTTTTTTAAAGTATTTTATTATTAAAATTTTTTACTATAACTTAATTTAACAAGTATTAATTTAATATATTTTTCAATTGTATTTAAATTTTTATTTCTATAAAATATTATATCGATATTTTATTAATAAATTTACAAATGCTGCAGGTTTAAAAAACACTAACTTGCATAAATAAAGAATTTAAAGCTCTTTCTAACTACTAGAGGAGATTCTCAATTTTCTCTGAAGACACTTGCATATACAAAGTACTCGGCAACTATCAAGCATAAAGATATATGGTGAAATTTATAAATCATTTATGTAATCGGACAAAAGAAAGATAAAATAATTTTGCAAAGGAAAAAGAATGCATCGTAGACTGCAAAGAATGAAGGATTAATTAGTATTCAATTATACGCCCCAATCGATCGTATATATGAACATTCTTAATGTAGGCTCTTGCTTTCTCTATTACTGAACGTGTGATCTCGCACCAACGTAACTCTAAGATATATAATGTTCTCCTTTCACGGGCATATTCGATGATAACCTCTAAATGTTCATCATTAATACACCTATAAAACCCGATGTACTTTAACTGTGCTTTGCATGTTTCCATCAAAAATTTTCGCAACGTGTCGGCATTGAATCTCCATGGTGCAAAAATTCTCAATTGGTAAAGGTTAGGAATAATGATCCCCATTACTGGCAGAAAATAATCGACTCTTACTGGTTCTTCCTCAGAGTCATTGATTATCAAACTTTCAAGTTTCTTGCAGGATCGTAAAAGTTGATAGAGTTCATGGATTTCCTTGCGTTCTACTGGCGCATCAAAAAAACGAATGTTCGGACAGTTTTCAGCAACTGTCCTTATAACGTGTGAAAACTGATTGGATGAGTTCTCGCGCTCCCAATAGAGAGTTAGCTCTTGCAAGTGAGCGCCGTTCGTTGTTATCATCAAGTTGATCGCTTGCGGAGAAAACTTTGAACGAGATAAGACTATTTTTCGAAGTCGAGGGAAAGATATGGATGCCAACTCCATTATATTATCTTCACGAAATATCTTCCATTTTTCAAACCTTAATACTTCTAAATTATTTAATGTCGACAATACAGCCAGCGGGCCACTATTGTATACCAAGTTCAAGTTATTTTTTAATTCCACGATTTTCAAAGAATTGCGCAGATTCCCACTTTCTAATGCATCCCTCATTTGCGGCCATCTCTTGCTTATGGTCAAACGTTTCAAGTTCTTCTGAGCCTTAATAAGTGCGGAGACTTCTTTATCATTTCCCCAGGAGCATTCTATTTTCAAATGAGTTAAACTCGTGCAAAATTCAGAGGCAAAAGTTAAATCTTTCGGAATACAATCATCACACTCTAAAATTTCTATTTTAGCTAAACATGGACGGGAAAATTCCTCACGTGATTCAAGATTAACATATTCTCCTTTACGCCGTGATGTTACTAAGATTTCAAGCACTTTCAGATTTAAAGATTGTTCCATAATGCAGTTTATGAGAATATCTAAAAGCTTGGTAACGGGATTCGATTTTAAGGTTTCTCCGCGATCTATGAAGTTATCAAACCATTGATCATTACACCATACTTTGACTGCAATATGTAGAGCCTGGAAATTAAATCTTCTTAGATATTTGACATAGTTGAAAGTCGGAGAGGCCAACGCCGAATCCGGGAAATCTACGCTCATTTCTTTTATCCGAGCTTTCGTACCCTCAGGAAGGCAGCCTAAATACACGGGAACGATTTTGTGCCCACCATCCCACTGATCTCCAAACGGATATTGCCATAAGATGGGAACAACAATTTGGCACCAAGTGCGATTTACCATCAAGCACGCATATAAACTATCGGCTTCGAGGGATTGAATAATTGGTGTAATTATCTCTGGTAAATTAAATATTGAAGGTGTCATCCTGAAAGAGTTTTCATCTGGAAACAAATCGATGACGGTTTTTTATTTAGTGAAACGTCTAACTAAATATAGATAGTTATAATCTACATAATACTCCGAGTTCGACGCCAGGCTCGAGAAATCCAAAATTATTATGAATTATTATCGGCAAAGCAATAAATTATATTTTAAAATATATATATATATACAATATACTGTATATATTTATGACTTTCCCATGTTAACTTATTCATTATTGAAGTTAACCCTTTTTTAAATGCAACATAAGAAATGATATTTCACTTTTTTTTTGACTTGAATTATCCTTAAGTCCAAAAAAACCATATTAATATATTTATATGCAAACTAAAAATCTAACCATTCAATATTCTTTTAGATTTATTTTTCAATAATTTCAAGAATACTCCTATTGTTAAAATATTGTTTATTTTAAATTTCAATTGTTTTTTTATTTTCTTTTTATATTCTATAACTTAATAATATTAAGCTTTTTTTAATATTCTATTATTATTTTATATTATTTATTTAAAAAAATATTTTAAACTTTTTCTTATATATTTAAAATGTTTATATATATTTTTTATATAATTAATTATGAATTTTTGTAATAATTTTAAAGAATCACAAAGAAATATTTTTAAAAATGATTTTTATAAATATATAGTATATATTATTACTAGTTAAAAAATATTTTTTTCATAATATTACTTATATAATATTTATCAAAAAAAAAAAATAATAATTTAACAAATTAATAGTATAAATAATTATTAATTTATTTTTATTATATAATTTAATAATTGTATAATATAATTTAATATAAATAAATTATTAATATATATAATTTAATAAACTCTTTCCACTAATCCTCTGACCACATACAAAAAAGATGTTTGCAAGAAGTTTTTATACTTCTTTGCTAATAAAGTCTTAATACTT